AGATGTTTATCTTCTTCCCAAAGAAAGAAGACTTTAAGCAAACATATAAAGGACCTCTTCTAGGGAAAAAGAAAAGCATAAGAGGAAGCAGTGAAGGCAATGTGCAATCAAAGACCTAACAGGCAAACCCAGGATATCCCCTAAATATGTGCAGTACAATATAACCTCCTTGATATTGTTAGGATCTCTTATAAGTAACACTTCAACATACAATGTTGTTCCCCATCCGATAAAGGACTAACACAAAAAAAAATTCTAAGAGACTGTAATCATCAAGCATAAGTTAGTCTTTATAAAAAGTAATGTTCGGGCTGGGTGCAGTGGCTCATGCCTATAATCCTAGCACCCTGGGAGGCCGAGGCAGGCAGATTGTTGGAGCTCAAGAGTTCAAGACCAGCCTGAGTAAGAGCGAGACCCTATCTCTACTAAAAAAAAATAGAAAGAAATTAGCTGGACAACTGAAAATATATGGAAAAAAATAAGCCGGCATGGTGGCGCATGCCTGTAGTTCCAGCTACTCGGGAGGCTGAGGCAGAAGGATCGCCTGAGCCCAAGAGTCTGAGATTGCTGTGAGCTAGGTTGACACCACAGCACTCTAGCCCAGGCAACAGAGTGAGACTCTGTCTCAAAAAAAAAAAAAAAAAGTAATGTTCATTCAAAACCATGTAGTTTATAAAGCACTTTCACATATAATAATATTTCATTGACTATTCATTACCACTATTCAATTACCAGTGAGGGTAGTTTGTTATCTCTATTTTATAGATGAGTGAAGGGATTTACCTAAATTCATAAAATGTGTGGCTGGTAAAGCCTCCATATCAAATCACTTGCCATCAAATCCCAGGTGCTTTCCACACCACATTGTGCCTCCTCGTTTCACATAAAAAAAATCACAGCACTATCCCGTCTGCCCAATTTGCACACAGCTATTACCAATACAGTAAGAACAAATGTCAGCTATTAATGACACCATGTGTTATAAGTACAAAAGGGAAAGAAAACAAACTCAGCATTTTCTCTGAGAGGCCTGGCACTCTATTCAGCACCCAACCTATACTTTGCCCAACGTTGTTCTCACAGTAGGCCTTCAGGTAGGTGCTGCTCAGAAAGTAGACTCACAGAGGCTTAGAAATTTGAACAAGGTCATACATTAAACAAATGACATAGCAGTGATTTTAACCATGTATCTACTATACCACATACCTTACATGGTACCATAGTGATGGCCTTTTTTTTTTTTTTTTTTAAGACAGAGTCTTACTTTGTTGCCTGAGCTAGAGTAGCCGTGGCATCAGCCTAGCACACAGCAACCTCAAACTCCTGGGCTCAAGTGATCCTCCTGCCTCAGCTTCCCGAGTAGCTGGAACTACAGGCATGCACTACCATGCCCAGCTAATTTTTTCTGTATATTTTTAGTTGGCCAATTAATTTCTTTCCATTTTTTTAGTAGAGCTGGGGTCTCGCTCTTGCTCAAGCTGGTTTCAAACTCCTGACTTTGAACGATCTTCCTGCCTGGGCTTCCCAGAGTGCTAGGATTACAGGCGTGAGCCACCAAGCCCAGCTGTGATGGCCTTTTTTAGTCAACAACAAAGAAAGATAAAGTACTTTCTAGGTTAAAATATTATACAATGTTTTAAAGTGTCAAACAACCATTCCTCTACTTGTTGCTGTCATAATCTCACTTCCAAGCACAGTACCTTTTTCTCCTTCCTTATTTTCTCTGGTTTACTCTTAGTAACTGCTGGCCTCACTACGTCCTGGAGAAAGGGCTAGTTGTTGGATAAGAAAAGTGATGTATGGCCAGGAGCCATGACTCATGCCTTTATTCCCAGCACTTTGGGAGACTGAGGTGGGAGGATCACTAGAGGCCAGGAATTCAAGACCAGCCTGGACAATATGGCCAGACTCTGTTTCTACAAAAAATATTTTTTTAATTTAGCTGGGCCTGGTGGTGTGAGCCTATTGTCCTGGCTACTTTGGAGGCTGAAGCAAGAGGATTGCTTGAGCTCAGGAGTTCAAGGCTGCAGTGAGCTATGATCATGCCAACACACTCCAGCCTAGGGTGACTGGGCAAGATTATCTCAAAAAAGAAAAGTAACATATCCTTAACTAACAGTATTTTATACAGTCACAAGAATCACACAAATACTATTTCTGCCTTGATTCTAAGTTAATTCTATCAAATAGTATATGTCAGATAAAAGAAATGTGAGCCTGTCCCAAACAATTGGGAAAGGAAAACAATGAACAATCTATCATTTAATCACCACTGGGGTTTTATCCAATCCAGACAAGACACAAGAACAAAATGCATAAAAATAATCTCATTACTATCCCAGAGTTTGGCATTCCACCACATTACAACATTGGGGACAGATAGCATTATCATCAAAATACTGTGTATCCCCTTCAGGTGTTAACTGCTAATGAGGGACAAGGATAGAAAAGAAAAATGTAAACATGACACTTTAAATAGTTTTAAAGTGGAAAAATTGGGAAAATTATTGAAGGACTTCCCAGAACAAAATCTAATTAGCTTTAACAAATTAAGGTGTACTATGACTCCCAAAGGGGGCTTCCTTATCTGAAGCAAACAGGAGGAACTTTCTATTAACACAGCTATACTCATAACAGAAGGTAAATAGCTAAAAGGCTTTTAACTATAACTCTATGTTCAGGGAACAAATAGGAAAAGCTACTCTGAGCCAAACTGGAGGAGCCAGTGGAAAAGCCTGCTGGGTGGACTAAGAAGAGGGACAGGAGTAGATAAAAAGGAAACAGGAAGAACTGAGTTAGAAGGAGTGTGGGGGAGGGAGGAGCAGCAAGGGGCAAAGAAGGCTGGAACCCAGGAAAGTACTAATGGAGATGAGCAACTCAGGTCTAGAAAAGTAAAGAAATAAATGCCTAGAACCAGAAGGTCTACCAGGGCCTGCCCTATCTTAAGGACCCTCCTCTTCTATAGGCTAAAATTAAGCCAAAGGAAATGAACTGGCTAAGACTAGAGAAAATGGAGTTCATTTAAGATACAGGGGAAGGTCCTGCCAAGCACAGGGGAGTAATAACTGGTAGAGAATGGAGGGAACTTTTTAGTGCTTTTTAAAATGTAACCTTATACAGATGAATTGTACAGTATGTGAATTATATCAATAAATTTGTTATTTTTAAAGTGTGTTAAGCTGGGCAATAACTACTTATGATATAATCAACATGATTAGCTCAGTTGTCTTATAAAAGTGTACCCTCAAATACCCTCACTCAAAAGGGAAAGTTTTCTTGTGTTTGGGAACATTTCCGTTGGAATTATCTTATGAATACAGAAGAAGCAGGAGGGAAACTGGGAGCTCAGACTTTCTCCATTTTTGCCCTTGGAATTTATTTGATAAAATTTTATATGGTGGTGTGGGGGAAGGAAGCTTTGTTTGGGGTCCACCTTGAAGTGGAGTATCAGATTTCTTCAGGGGATGATCTAGGGCCAAAGTCTACCTAGTCGAAGAGAAAGCGATCTGGGGTGGAAGAGTCAAGTAAGTTCTGTAGAAACCCCGGAAGGTTTCTCATGAAATGATCGCAGAAGACTCATCTCTGCTATCCCCAAATTGGACCGTACGCCCCATGTCACTTCCGACTGTTACTCACGAAGACGGATGCTTTGCCATGATCCCAGAAGTTTCTGGCGAGGGGCCCATGACAAAATTAGAAAGCCATTTGGGGACCGACCTGGCTGAAGCTAAGCGCCACGTCCAGCGCTGGGCTCCCCTTTCATCCCTCCCAATGTAGGAAAAGGAACAGAGGAGGGCACAAGGCTAGCGGGAACGCCCAATCACCCGTCTTCACCCTCCTCCCTTGAGCCGGGTTTCAGGGAGCCGCCCCCTGGCCCCCGCGTACGCCCATCCCCACCCGCCCTTGCCCCGGGCCTGCGACCCCGGGAGGGAGGGGGACGGCGGCGGCGAGCGCCCCCACCGGCTGCAGGCTCACCTCCCCCGGGGCAGCTGTCGCCGCGGCCCGGCGGGCCGGGGCCTCCCCGGGAGCAATAGGCTATCGATTCAGCTGCCTGTCGCTAGGAGCCCCGGGAGAGCGAGGCCTACACCGCCCGGCCGGAGCCCCGGCCTCGATTTCGCCACTTTCCCCAAACCGGAGGGAGAGTACAGGGGCAACCAGGCCGATCTGGACGGAGGGGAGAGAAGCAGAGACCACTTGCAGAGGCAGCCGCGGGGAAAAGCGGTGCGGGCGCCGGGCTCCCGCCAACAAGTCTCCCGGGGTTCGACCACCTACCTACCCCCTGCCTCGCAAGTTGCGCATTCAAGTTCAGGCTGGTGCCCCTTACCCTCCTGGAGCCCCCGCCACTCTCGAAACCATAATAAAAACAAGACGCGTAAGAGGCCACCACAGTAGTAAAGGAGATGGAGCTGGGCCCCTAAGAACGCCGAGGCGGGGTGGCCAACAGCGACCGCCCGCCAGTCACCTCCCCTCCGCTGACCCCGCCAGCCCTCGGGTCGCAGCCCCCAGCCCCTTGGCGTCAGGGCCTGTCACCGCCCGGCTCCGGGCCCCCAACACCCCTTCTTGACACCGCGGACAGGGGCTCGAACTCCCCCTTGCCTCCGGCGCGCCTCGGCCTCCTCCCCATCCAAATCCTAAAAATGCCCCCCGCACCTTTTAAAGTACGTGGAGGAAGAGTTTGCCGTCAAACTTTGTCGAGCGATAACCTCGCCCCCCTCCCCGACCCACACTTTCAGGGCAGTCTTCAGGAGAGATCACTTTGCACTTAGGATAAAGCGAATTAAGGAGCTGTCAACCATTTTAGATCTTTTTTATAGAAGACATCCTCTCCTTCCCCTCCCCCTGCAATGGTTTTAATCTGACACCAAACCTTCCCACCGCAGAAGGGGGGTTGAGAAGGGAGGGGTGGGGACGGAGGGCAGGAGGAGGGTGGCGAGGGAAAGCGAAAGGGGGAGGTTGGAAGGGGGCTGGGAGGCGCGGGGAGGGGAAGGGGGTTGATTTACCTGAGACCAGCCACTGGCCTCCATTGTTGGAGAATTCAATGGCATTGACACAGCCGAAGTGGCCGAGGAGGTCCTTCTTGTAGAGGTTTCTGCAGCCCCGCAGGCGTCTCCTCTGAAAGTCCTGAGTGAGCAGGGGGTCCCCATGCAAGCCCCGCTGGGACAAGAAGCCCACCACTGACCTCATGCTGCCCCCCAGGCCAGCTCTCCTCTTCATGCTGGAACCGCCGCCGCCGCCGCTCGCGCCGCCGCCCCTCCCTCGGCCTCACGCGCGGCCGCCGCTCTCCCCCCACCCAGCCCTCCCCCCGCGCTGCGATCCGGATGGTTCTTTAACCAGCCATGGCAGGCAGAGCGAGGTGTGCAGACACTCGGTGGCGTTCGCGGCTTCCTGACGGTCCCCTCCCTCTCCTTCCCCCCTAAGCTCCGCCCTCTCCTTCTCCGCCTCCTCCAGCAGCTGATCCTCAGCTGCGGCGGAGCTTCCGCGATGCGCGGCCCTTCCGCCGGCCTCCGGGGCCCTGAGAACGCGGGCGGCGGCCTTCCCCTCCCCCGTCGCGGGCGGCTGGCCTGGAGACTGCGGGCGCCGGCTGCGCTTCCTCCGCTGCAGCTGCTTCCCGCACGGGGACCAGGGTCGCGCTGGGCGGGCCGCACTCCTTGAAGTTGGACCCGCATAACAATCTGAGCTCCCGCGGGGCTGCGGGCTCGCCCAACCCCCCCCCCCCCCCCGGGCCGCTGGCGGGTCCCCTGCAGCCTAGAGGCCGGGCGCCTGGACTAGTTGGGGAAAACGGGGCCAGAGGTGGGGGAAGGACTGCGGCCAGAGGCTCGGATCCTCGTCCCTCAGTTCTGCTCTTCCTGGGGCTGCCCTAGCCCTGTCCATGGGATTGGGGGTTGGGGACTGGGGGTCGGGGGAGAACCAGGAGTTAGTAGGACTGGACACTTGCAGGAAGGTGGCCTGGGGATTTTGTTAGTGCACCCGCCCCTCCCCCCCTATAAATTTTTAACACTCCAGATAGATTTGCAAGATACAAGAAGCATTATTCGAAAAAAGGGATACTGTAATCCTAGCACTCTGGGAGGCCGAGGCGGGAGGATCGCTCAAGGTGAGGAGTTCGAAACCAGCCTGAGCAAGAGCAAAATCCCATCTCTACTAAAAATAGAAAGAAAATTAATTGGCCAACTAAAATATTTAGAAAAAATTAGCCGGGCATGGTGGCCCGTGCCTGTAGTCCCAGCTACTCGGGAGGCTGAGGCAGAAGGATCGCTTGAGCCCAGGAGTTTGAGGTTGCTGTGTGTTAGGCTGATGCCATGGCACTCTAGTCTAGGTAACATAGTGAGACTCTATCTCAAAAAAAAATAAAGAAAAAAAAATAGCGACACATATTATTTAATTGGGTGCGTTGAGCTCCTCTTAAAGGTCAAGAGTGGGGAGCTCTGAGGTTGTACGGCTGTTAACCAGCAGCTGTGTTTCAGGCCAGAAGTAGCGGCACTTCAGAAGGATGGGAGTCACTGTGTTGACCTCAGTGGGTGTTAAGTGCTTTGGAATTCTACCAGATACAGTTAAAAGTCCTCTTTTCAAGGTATTGTATTACTTTTCCTAGAAGTTATGCTCTATCATTAAGTGGTAATAAGCTACTGAAATAGGCAGGTGTCAGTTTTGCCTTTCAATTTAGCAGGAATTACATCCTCTGGTCCAGAGATGGCACAGGGGTGGTGAGTACAACCACCATTGAAAAGATGGGCTGAAAACATGGAAGAGGTTCACCAGTCAAGCAAAAGTCTCTACTACTTTTTGTGCGATGACAATGATAAATAAGATTAATCATACTAATAGCAAATATGCAAGTGTTTAACATAATAGTCTACTATATTATAACAAACATTACTAAATAGACATTTACCAAATTCCAGAAATTAGAGTTTTAATGCAATATTTTCCCCCTAAATAGGAAAGAAAATGTGTAGTGCTTTCTTTTAAAAGATTTTATTCTCAGGATATTTATAATAATCCATAATATTTATTCATTATAATTGCCACATACAGATCAATAGTAATGTACCAGCTTGATTAAAGATTTATAGTACCAAACATCCTTCCTTCATAACAATATCATAATGTGTAATCATTTATTTTTGTGATTATATGATGGTCTCCCCTACTCCACTGTAAGCTCTCTGACAGCAGGGACCATGCCTGTTCTGTTCAAGGATGGATGTCCAGGGCCAGCACTTGTGTGCACTTAGTGGCTACTTTAATATTTGCTGTATACATGAATAAACTTAGTGGAAAGGGTTTTGAAAGGGAAGATAATGATTTTTGTTTTGAATGTGTGAGTTTGAGGTATTGGTGCTTCATTCCAGTGGAGTCCATTCATTGCAAGGCCAGTTTCCCATCTCACTATTCCTTTAAACAGCATGTTCAATTCACACATTCAAAAATGGGCCCTCTGGCTCTTTCCAATTTATAAGGCCATCATTTATACCTACCTTATTTGCCTGGGGTTGAGGAGATGAGCACAGTAATAATGTTTGAAATGGCCTTTACTGTGGCAATATATAAAATACACCCTCCTCTCCCCTCTTAGGCACTTACCCCTTCTCCATAACTTTAAATGTGATTCTCTTTTCCCCAATCCTTAGAAAAACTGTCCCATTTACCTCAGCCTGAAAATAGACCAGTATCTGGTCACATGCCATCCCAATTCTAGGACTTTGCTGTAAACTTCCTTAACTGTTCAGTGACCAGTAAGAGCAGAAATGTAGGACCACCTAGTATGTTTCTATCCTATTTATGATCTGGGCAGCTTTTTGTAAGGAGAGTGAATAAAATCTCTCCCTATTCTCATAATTAGGGTTGTCAGATAAAATATAGGACATCCAATTGAGTATAAATTTCAGAGAAACAATGAATAATGTTTTAGTATAGCCCATGGAATATTTGGGATATACTTATACTAAAATAATTATTGTTTATTTGAAATTCAAATTGAATTAGGCATCCTGAATTTTTATTTGCTCAATCTGGCAACCCTACCTATAATATAACTAACTTCAGAGGCTCATGCTCCATGCTATCTATTTGCTTTTATTAAGAATTTAAGGCAGGGGATGGTGGCTCACGCCTGTAATCCTAGCACTCTGGGAGGCCGAGGCGGGAGGATTGCTCGAGGTCAGGAGTTTAAAACCAGCCTGAGCAAGAGCGAGATGCTGTCTCTACTATAAATAGAAAGAAATTAATTGGCCAACTAATACATATAGAAAATATTAGCTGGGCATGGTGGCACATGCCTGCAGTCCCAGCTATTCGGGAGGATGAGGCAGAAGGATTACTTGAGCCCAGGAGTTTGAGGTTGCTGTGTGTTAGGCTGATGCCACGGCACTCACTCTAGCCTGGGCAACAAAGTGAGACTGTCTCAAAAAAAAAAAAAAAAAGAATTTAAGCCAGATCAGGTAGCTCACACCTGTAATCCAATCCTAGCACTCTGGGAGGCCAAGCGGGAGGATCACTTGAGGTCAGGAGTTTGAGACCAGCATGAGCAAGAGCGAGACATGCTCTCCCCCCACACACTAAAAAAAAATTAGAAAGAATTTAACATAGTCCTTTGTTGTTTTGTGTGTTTTTTTTTTTTTGAGACAGAGTCTCACTCTGTTGCCTAGGTTAGAGTGCCATGGCATCAGCTTAGCTCATAGCAACCTCAAACTCCTGGGCTCAAGCAATCCTACTGCCTTAGCCTCCCAAGTAGCTGGGACTACAGGCATGTGCCATCATGCCAGACTAATATTTTTTTCTATATATTTTTAGTTGTCCAGCTAATTTCTATTTTTTTAGTAAAGTTGGGGTCTTGCTTTTGCTCAAGCTGGTCTTGAACTCCTGAGCTCAAACAGTCTGCCCACCTCGGCCTCCCAGAATGCTAGGATTACAGACGTGAGCCACCTTGCCCGACCAACATAGTCTTTTGTGTCATTTATTGCAAACCAATACTATTGTACATAACTATATAATAAAAACATTTAGTCAACCTCGGTGACCATATATGAGCTTTGCTTTTTTTTTTTTTTTTTTTTACCAGAATCAGGTTGGGAAGAGCTTTGCTTTTTTCATAAAGGTATTTAAAGTGAAAAAGCCAGTGTACTTAGGTTTAAAGTAGCAGATGAAATTACTCCTGAGTAATTGTGCCACTGCAGAGAATGTGTAGACAAAGAGGGAGAGGGGTGAAAAATTCATATTTTTCTTACCTAGACCCAAAAACTTATGTGTATTAACATTCATATTCAGGAATCCTTGAAACATTGTTTTAGAAATTTCATTCTGGAAACACTAAGATATGGAAATTGCCTAACACAAGAACTCTTACTTAATTGCTTTACCATGGATCGTATACTGGTCAAATGTAGAGTTCCCAAAAATTCATTTACTCCTTGTCTTCTATTTTGTTTGGCTCAAATGTCACTGAAGAAAGAGCAAGGAACCTTTAATAACTGACTAAATGCTAAGGAAATGCTCAAACGTCAGAAATTGTGTGGGGTTTTTTTAACTAAGAAAATACTAAGCCCCTTCTCAAACTTTTATTAAATTTTAGTACATTAAATGCTACATATGAATACTAATATGCTCAGAAATTTTTTTCCTAAAAATATTTTCAACTTTAAAATAAATTGCTACTATATAGATAAGAGATATTACTTCAGGCAAAGATCAATGCCTCAAATATACATATAAGTTAACTGTAACATTTAAATTTTAAAGGATAAGTTATTTATTGGTCATCTCAAATAGATAGCAGTCAATTACAATGTTGGAAAAAAAAGACACATTTATTCAATACAAATTTCTCCAACAATATCTATAGGACATATGCCCTTTATTTATTTATTTATTTATTTATTTATTTATTTTTTTTTGAGACAGAGTCTCACTTTGTTGCCCAGGCTAGAATGAGTGCCATGGCATCAGCCTAGCTCACAGCAACCTCAAACTCCTGGGCTAAAGCGATCCTTCTGCCTCAGCCTCCCAAGTAGCTGGGACTACAGGCATGCGCCAACATGCCCGGCTAATTTTTTCTATATATGTTAGTTGGCCAATTAATTTGTTTCTATTTATAGTAGAGACGGGGTCTCGCTCTTGCTCAGGCTGGTCTTGAACTCCTGACCTTAAGCGATCCTCCAGCGTTGGCCTCCCAGAGTGCTAGGATTGCAGGCGTGAGCCACCACGCTCAGCCCCTTTCATTTTTTAATAACAATTTTTTTTTTTATAAAATTGAGGTATAACTGACATACCATAAGATTCACCCTTTTGAAGCGTACAGTTCAGTGGTTTTTAGTATATTCACAAAGCGGTACAACCATCACCACTATCTAATTTCAGAACATTTCATCACCCACCAAAAAAGCCCATACACATTAGCAGTCACTCTCCCTTCCTCCCTGACAACTACTAATCTAACTGCTGTCTCTATGGATTTGCCTATTCTGCATATTTTACATGAGTGGAATCATACAATAGATGGCTTTTGTCTGGCTTCTTTCATTTGGCATAATGTTTTCAAGATTGACCCATATTGTAGCATGTATCAGTACTCCATTCTTTTTTTAGACCAAATATACATATTTGGATATTGTATATTGTTAATCATTCATTAGTTGATGG